AGAGAAGGGGACGAAGGCCTCGTTTTTCTTCAGCTGCCCGTTCTCATCCAGGAAGTTCTCCGGGTGGAACCCTTGGGGGCTTTTGAACTTGGTGCCATCATGCAGAACGGTGCTGAGCATGGGAAAGACCTCTGTGCCCTGAGGAGGAGAAGCGCCAGCTCAGAGGTTCTTTCGCCCAGCTGGCACAAGATGCCCGAGCGATCTGGGCAAGGAGGCCAAGAGGCGCTCTCCTTTTTGCACTGCGAGAGGGGGGGGGGGGTTGGATGGGGGCCTGGGCTTCCCTTCTCTCCCCCCATCCTTTGGGACCCCCATCAACCCCTCCCCCCATCACACCTGGCCGGCTGGGTGGGCAGAGGGGAGGAACTGCCTTTGGGCCATTCGCAATCTGCCCCCTCGGGGTGGGCACTCTCCGCCTGGGGCTCCTGCATGCTGGCCAGCCCTTCTCGGTCCCCCTGATCCCTTTGCCCGATCCTGCTGGGCAGCCCGGCCAGAAGCCGGAGTGGCAACATGCCAGCCCCATGCCCCTTGGCCCCCCTCCCTCCCCAAGGCTCTGACCTTCGGGATGAGGTAGCCTCTGAACTCCGTGTCGCGGGTGACCGCGTGGGCCACGTTCATGGGGATGAGGTCGCTGAACCGCTGCACTTCGTGGATGACCGCGTCCACGTAGGGCATCTGGCTCCGGTCTTCAATGTTGGGGATCCGGTTCTGGCCAATCACACGGTCGATTTCCTCCTGCATCTTTGCTGGCAAAAGGTGGCCTTGAACTTAGTGGCTTCGACTGCACTCTCTCTGACGCGCCCGGATCAGCGGCTGGGGGGCCAAGGATCTGGGCAGGAGGGCTCAAGGGCTGTGGGGCTGGCTTCCGCCCCATGGCAGGGGAAGCTCCTGGCCTGACCTCCCACGTGGGTGGCTCACAGGCTGGGTTCAGGCCTTTGTGCAGCTCACAGCAACTTCTCTCTGGCCCAGCAACCCCGGTGGCACTTGGGGGGGGGGCTGCTTCCTGGCCTAGAGACACAGTGGGATTGAATCACCCCCCTCCCCAAAATACCTTGCACTTCGGGGTACTTCATCAGCAACAGAAACCCATATCGCAGGGTGGAGCTGACCGTCTCCGTCCCAGCAAAAAACAGGTTCAGGGTGGTCAACTCCAGGTTCTTCTGGTTGAATTCGCTCTCCGGATTGTCCTTCTCCTGAAGGCCAAGTGGACACCAAGGGCATGAGAAGCTTGGGGGGGGGGGGCTGGAAGAAGGCTTTCCATCCGGATTGGGGGGGTGCACACCAGGCGAGACAAGCCCTGCTTGCAAGCTGACCAAGCGCTGGTCCCCCCAAAACAGAACTGGCCCCTTGGTCCTAGCCAGTGGCCGGACTGGCCAAGAGATTCCCGGGGGACAGGCTGCCTCCTCTGCCAGCCCCTTCCCTGCTTCACCTGCCTCGGTCCCCGTCTCTGCCAGTGCCCCAGTGCCCTCTGCAGGAGAGGTGCTGCCAATGCTGGGCGTCCCGAGGTTGCCCTTGGAGTGAGGGAGGGACGGCGGCTTGGAGCCTGGTGCAACTGCAGAGACTGTGGCTTGGTGAATTCCTGGACGCCCAACGTGCCCCTCGCTTTCCCCTTGGCTGGATTGGAAGTTCTTTTTACGAGACCCGGCTGAGAAGCGCCAGTCTCCCAGCCTTCCTGCCCTTTGGCGGTCTTGTTTGCTTAGGAGGGGACATCTTTTGCCCTGTGGCAAAGCACCCACCCACCCGTGCCTTGGAGCTGGGGAAGCCATCCTGGGCTCCCTCCCCGCCTCCCACCTTCTCCATCTGGATGAGAAAGCAGTCGATGAAGTCCCGGGGAGAGTTGGGGTCCAGGGTCTCCTTGTTCTTCTGCACCCTCCTGGCGATGAAGAGCCTCATGTCCTCTAGGATGTCATAGATCTTGGTGTGGGGCCCCGGGAAGTATCTCAGGAGGTTGACGTAGATATCGTAGAACTGCGGACGAGAGGCGAAGGATGTGTCAGAGAAGGGCGTCACCAAAGGGACTCAACGAGATCGATTAATCAATTAATTAATGCAGCATTTCAAGAATAAATCGGGAGATGCCTTTGCAGAATAAGGCTGACAGGAGAGGAACTGAAGTAATCCTGGAGGTTTTTTCTTCCGGGGGCCCTTTCCTCCCTCCTGGACCAGAGTTCTCAGCCTCCCAAGCCAAGCAGCTGCCCGGCGTCTTCGGACAGGGCCAGCTTGTCCGAGGGAGCAGCATCCTCGCATCCTCCCATTTTGCTGCAGGGAGGCCAGGAGCTGTGGTGGAGCTACCTGAGACCAGCTGGTGCTCATCTCTCGAAAGCTGTCGTTCATCATCTTCATGAGAGCCAGAAATTCCTTGTCTTGGTAATCGAAACGGTTCCCAAAAACGATCGAACAGATGACGTTGGAGACGGAGCAGCTGAGGAAGAAGATGGGGCTGAAGGGCTTCTCTGGTGCCGAGGGAGGGAGGGAGGGAGGAAGAAAGGAGGGAGGGTCAACCGCTTTGGCCAGAAAGGTAAATGGTTTTCTCCTGGTGGTTTTGGGAGGGGTGGGGGCTGCTTCCTCTCCTCCCCTGCGGATCATTACTTGGAGAGGAAGGGGCGCCTGAGGCCTCTCGGACTCCGCAAAGGAAGGAGCCCCTTTCCGTGACGCTCTTTTTCAGGCCAAGCATCTCCTGGACCAGAAGCCTTCTAGTCCCAGCCCTGCTCAAGGCCTCCTGCCCCTCCGGCCCCCTCCGGCCCCCTCCGGCCCCCTCCGGCCCCGGGATTCTAGGTTTATGTTCTGGGCATCTGGACATCTGACCTCGCATTGCTACAATGGGCTGGACGATCAGTCGGTCAGCCCAGAGGCCTTTCCAGCCGCCCCCTGCCCCCTCCCCAGCCTCACCTTGGGTCTTCTGAAATTCCTCCAGCAGGAACTGGGCCTCCTCCTGGATCCGCTCGTGGATGGATTTCTTCCCCATCCCAAAGTTCCTCAGGACGGTCAGGGAGAACCGGCGCAGCTGCTTCCAGCGCTCCCCCTCCGAAAAGACCACCCCTGCGGGCAGAGGAGAGCAGTGGGCCCCGTGGCCAGGGAAGGGGGGCGGCCTGGCCTGCTCCCGCCCCGCCGACACCTGGGGTCCTCACCGTGGCCTTCGAAGGTCCTCTGCAGGGTGGGGTTGGTTTTCCTGCCGGAGAATTCCTCCGCCTGGTCAATCAGGGCCTCCTTCACTGCTTCGTAGCCACATAAGACCACGATTGGCCGGTTCCCGAAGTAGACGGTGAAGACGGGGCCGTATTGCTCCCACAGCTGCACAGGAGAGAAGGAAACGCAGGTGGGCCTTGGCTTGCAACCACAACGGAGCCCAACATTTCGGTTGTTAAGTGAGACATTGGCCCATTTTACATTGTTAAGTGAATCACTGCAGCTGTTAGTAACCCGGTTGTTAAGTGAATGGCTTCCCCATTGACTTTGCTTGTCAGAAGGTCACAAAAGGGGACCCCGGGATCCGGGGATGCTGCGGCCATCAGAAGTGTGAGACTGCTGCCAGCATCCTCAATTTTGGTCATGGGGCCATGAGGAGGCCGCAAAGACCCTAACTGTGAAAAACGGGCGTAAGTCACATTTTCCAGGGCTGTCGTAACTTTGAATGGTCACTAAGCAAACTCTCCAGAGTTGGATGGCCCCGTCCATGGTTCTCCTTCAGGTGGGGGGAGATGGGTGGCCACCTTCTCTGAGGGGAGGGAAACAGCCGTGGCGGAAATCCCTCCCAGAGGGAAAGAGGGCCACAGGGTGCTTCTTTCATCTGCCCCACCCTGAAGGGCTCCTCTTCCCACCTGCCTCACCCGCTGGCTCTTCGGACTCAGGGAGACCCCCATCTCAAATTCACCCATCTCAAATTCACCCA